TGCGGTGACATCCCAAATCTTTCCCAATCATTCGGCTTCCTCAATGGGGTGCTCCTTACTGCGCATATGGTCCCACAGCATGACATGCCCGCTTGCCTTTGTAAGGTGTCTCTCCAGTGGGGGTGGGTTTCGGATGGACCGCTTTCCTCCAAGGACCCTTCCCTCTTGGACAGACATAGACCGTCCATTCTAGTGGGTCTAACTCCCCTAACTGGACTTCTATGCCCGTCACTCCACATCCGTGTGAGGGTCTGCTCCCTCCATCACTATCCCTTTCTTCCTTCTTTGGGAATGAAGACACCTATGGCCCTTCTTCTTTGTCTTGTCGTTTACTCCCTTTCTCTCTCCCCCCCCCATGTCTATCCACTCTTCTGCACCCCAGCTCCCCTTCTTTACCACCTTTTCCTCCCACTCTGTTGTCATCAAGAAACCTTCCATTACTGACTTTTCTCCTCCTCTCTCTCAATAAATACTGGCAGTAGAACTAACCTTCTTATCTCTGGTGGCACATCATCAGTTAATAGAACTAACAGCAGAAGGAACAACTTATGAACCCTGCCTCTGGTTTGATCTTAAGATAACTACAGAGCACTGTTAACAATGCCAGAATCATTGCTAGGAAATATCTGTAGTTCAGTGGTAGAGCACAAGCTTTGTAGGTAGCAGTAATCACATGTAGTTTGAGGCATATCCAGGTAGGTCTTGGACGACCCTCCCCCTGAAACATTAGAGAACTGAGGCTAGTCACTCCATAAACACCTGAGATGGCTGGAACGAGGACATGACTTAATATAAGCTTAATATAATGGGAAATCTACATTTTCTTGATACTGCGACTCCCAGAACCTCTCAGCCAGCGTGGTCAGTTTTGAGAATTTTATGCCAAAAAAGAAAAAGTAAAAAAAGAATCTGTCCAAAGCTCTGGGGATTAGGCATATTTCTATATTTCACCATGGAATTCTGTAAATCATAAACTGCCATTGCTATTAGTTCTGCATAAACATAGAGGTATTTGCTGTCTTCAGAAGTTAAAGCCTCTTCAGACTGAAAGGATCTCCATCTTCTTAGTATCAAGGAGAGGAATTTAGGAATGGCCTAGTTGTTTCCTCACTTGACTTTTCCAGTCTCTTTGTAGGGATTTCTCTTCCTCAACAACGTGGTATGAGCAGGCTTAACAGGGGACTGGTGTTCCTTCGTTCTCTTGGTTCCTCAACAACGTGGTATGAGCAGGCTTATGACTGGTGTTCCTTCGTTCTCTCGACCTTGGCCTACAACCAGTAAGTCCTCATAAACAACTTGAGTATATGGTAACCACAGGATAAAAATGTCTTCAGCCATTTTAAACAGTGAAAATGGAGAATATGTGTGAGGTGGTCCCCTCACCTAGTTTGAAACTTGGCTTCACCTATGGTCTAGACTCCTTGGTAAAAAGAATCTGACCAGTGGCCATATTGGCTGAGATTCTTAGAGGTACCATCTAAAAAAAAACTTTTTGAAGCTTTGGTCTGGACATGGTTTTGCCCCATCAGTTATGGTACAGTCCAAATGGGCACCGCATCTGAACTAAACGTGACTTCTGGCCTTCCTAGTGGATCAGCCTGAGGTGCTTACTGAGAACACAACTGATACCGCAAAAGCTGACAGATGTAACTTCAGATTCTCGTAGTACAGTAGAAGCTTTGCATTCCTGTTCTGAGATGTGGCAGGTTTTCCATTTCATTACAGAAGCTAGGAAACTGAACTGAGAGCAAATGGGCCACCAAACTATTTATGGCTTTATAAATTATACAAGACATTCTCTATTCTACTGAGAAATAAACAAGCATCTTGTGTAAATGACATTAGCTCTTGGTTTACTGTTGTGGCTCTATGGGCCATGATTCTAAAGCGCCTAGCCAGCTGCTGCCTTTGGGAGCCACCATGCTACCTAATATAATCAAAAGCAACAAATAATCCCATTAATGCAAAATGCATGCCAGTCACAAAGAGCTTTTTACTTTTTATCACACTTAATAAAGTTTTGAATTTACATTTTATTGGCCTCTATGTAAACAATAAAAAGATGGCTGCTGTTGGTTGCAGAGTTTTTTTAAATGATCATTTCCTGGTATGTGCTAGTTTTATTTTGTGGGTAGGCTGAAAGTCACATCAACCTCAATATAGCCATCCATGTGAAGAAGACATTTGTGGCTTGCAGCATCAAGGCAAGTGAGATAAGCTCCTCAAGGGAATGTGCTGTCTTCTTTAAAAAAAATACATCTATATTTGAATCAGAACATTTGTCTCATTCTGAAAGTTAAAGGAAGGTATGTGGTCTTTCTGAGATAGAGGGCGGGCAAGTTAAAAGCAATACAAATTAAAAGTTTTAGCAAGGCATAACATGAACACAGTGCTACAATGACCATCTGTGATATACCCCAGCATGCTTCCCAATGGTGCAAAATCGCTTTGCTGTTCCAAATTAGGAAATGAGCAAAAGTAGGAAACTACGGGGCATGCTTTGATGGTACAGGATACGGCAACCTTATGAAAGCTTAAACAAGTCTGGATCTAATCAGTGGTTAGATGAGAACTTTGGGTTTCCTATCAAGTTCTTTCAGGTTGCATGATTGGGTATAAATGTAATGTTAAAAACAGTTGATCATTGGAATGCATATCCCATCAGTTCCAAACAGAAAAGACCATGGTCAGTGATGATAGGAGTTATAATCCAACAAATTGTGTATTCAGGTATTATGAATTCTGCATATACTCAGCACAGGTGGAGAGGAGTTTCCTAGTTCTGCCACATATAGACACATATTTCCAGTTCCTCTCCTACAAGTGGAGGACAATGCATCCAAAGAAGAGCTCCATTTTCCATGGCCTACAACTAGTAAGTCTTCACAAACAACTTACTGTATATGGGTTTGGAAAACATAGGGATCCTTGACACATCTACCTCATTTGATCTTGCTCCCAACCAACCGATCTGCATAGGTTATACTGCCCTGAAAGAAACATCCATCCATCAAGACTAGCAGTCACTGATGGCCCTATAGGTAGCTTATTAGGTAGGGTGCATCCCCTGAAGGTTTGAGGTAAAGCCCTCCTCCCATCTTTGTCCACAAGCCCCCTTGGTCTTATCCTCTGTGAATTTAACCAATCCCCATTTAAAGCCATCCAAGCGGAGAAACATCACAACATTTTGTAGCAGTTAACTCCACAGTCTAACTACGCCCTATGTACAGAGGTACTTCCTTTTATCTATCCTGATTCTTCCACCTGCATTATGATGAGAGGAAAGCCTCTCCTTATCCACTTTCTCCATACCATGCATTATTGTATACAGTACATCAACATCATGTCTCTCCTTATTTGCATTTGTACTTCTTACATGCCATCAAGTCATCTCTGACTTATGGTGACCTTATGGATGAGCGATCTCTAAAATGTCCTGTCCTCAACAGTCCTACTCAGCTCTTGCAAACTCAAGCCTGTGGTTTCTTTTAGGAGTCAATTCATCTCTTATTTGCTCTTCCTCTCTTCCTGCTGCCTTTCACCTTTCCCAGCATCATTGTCTTTTCTGGAGAATCTTGCCTTCTCATGATGTGCCCAAAGTAGGACGGCCTCAGCATCAACAGTTTTGCCTCCAGAGTTAGTTCAAGTTTGATTTGATCTTAGGACTCACTTATTCCTCTTTCTGGCTGTCCAGGATATCTGCAAAGCTATCCTCCAGCATCACATTTCAAATTAATCAATTTTTTCTCTGTCAGCTTTCTTTACTGTACAGATTTCACACCCATGTATGGTATTGGGAATACAAAGATATGGCTGAGCTTGATCTTCATCTCCAGGGGAACATCCTTACACTTGATGATGTTTTCTAATTCCTTCATTGCTGCCCTTCCAAGCCCTAGCTCAATTTCTCTCCCCATGCCCCAGTGTCTGGATCATTTTGGTTGACCCTTCCTGCACCTTTTTCTGCTGTACTGTACTGTATCTCAGGTGCAGTGGCCAGAATATAATGGTGTATTCCAGCTATGTTTGCCCCATAGATTTGTATAAGGGCAAAATGATATTGACACTTATATTTTCATTTCGTTTCCTAATTACGCTCAACGTGTGTGTGTGTGTGTGTGTGTGTGTGTGTTCAGTGCCCTCAAGTCAGACCCAATTTACAGCAACCCTAATACAGTTTTAAAGGTAAGTAAGATATTTAAGGGGTGGTTTTTACCAGCTCCATTCCTCCCAGTCTTTCCATGGCTGAGGAGAGATTCAAACTCTTCTCCAGAGTCCTACGTAGTCCATCACTCTATCCACTACACCACACTGGGTATCCCAAGGCCATGATATGCTTTTTGTATAGTAGCTAAGCAATGGGTAAATTATATTTTCATGTTATCTATCTACCAAACCCCCAAGATCCCTTTCTTTGGATCCCAACACGGTATATTAAAGTGGCTAATATTCGTTTGAAATGGAACATTCACCCCAATGCACTCAGGGAGCTTGACATTTGCAAAACCTCTACAGGATTGCATTGTAAAACAGTCAAAGCCTATAGTGAAATTAAGAGACCGCACACCCTGATCTTCTGCTTGTTTATTTGGAAGTAATTGTCTCTCACGATAAAGAAATGCTTACTCTCAAGTAAGACTATATAAGGAAGACAGGTCTATCCAAATTAACAAATTTGTGACCTTTGTGAATGCACAAAATAGATTCACAGCCCAATCTTGTGGAAATTTAGGCACGTCTAAGACTGCGCTCTGATGCACTTACATGCGAGTAATCTCCTTTGAACGCAAGGGGATTTACCTCTGAGTAAAGTTTTACGTAAAAGGATGGCCAGCATCGGCGTTCAATTGGGCAGAGTAGCGCCCCATTGACAGAAGCGGCGTAAGCTCGGGTGCCGTACGATGACGTCACATCCAGTGCTGCTCAAGATGGCGGCATGCAGTGGGAATAACGCGCCTGCGCCTCGCTAACCTATAGATTCCGTTCCGTTTTCACACACCGCCAATAGACTTACCCGGAAGATTTAGAAGGAAGGACGTTTCCTGCAGGGGGAAGTTGCATGGGCTGAAGGGTGGAAAGGTGAGGTTTTTCAAGATTTTTTTCGTCTTGATGGAGCTGAGTTTTTTTCGGGGGAGGGGGAATTGTCCAAGGAGGTGTATATTATAAGAAGTAAAAATAAGAATAGTGATTCCATTTGGGAGGTTGGGTTTGTTGTGCTCTTATCAAACTCAGTTACTTGTTTCCTATCTTCGCCTCTCTAGTAATTTGACTTCTGTCTTTTGCAGGCTTTGTTAGGCTCAAAACATTAGGAATACGTGCTGAATAGGAGCTACTGCTCTTAATGTGCCCTAAAGTCACTTTGCAGTTACGGCGAGTAGGTATTACTTCTGCGTAAATACTGTATGCATGGCAGCCTCCAGTAGTTGCCTCCTTGTAGACCCGTCCTTCGGGGGGGGGGAGCCCTTTTTCAGCCCATTTATCTTTTTCCATTGCTAAGATCATCTTTTGCCTCAAAATCCTGTAATTAGGCTTAACTCTCTCTATTCGTTTTCATTTGTCTGTGAAAGCTCACAGTAAAAAAAATAAAATAGAAAAGTTAGTCTTTAAGTTGCCACCAGCTATATTGTATCCTTTAATTTTTATTTTGTTTTCACCTATATTAGCTTCCACTCATGCTGTGTTTCAAATTTCTACACATTAAAGTTTTGTTTCTCTTGTAGTATTTATCCCATATCCAATCTTGCTCTTTAAAAAAATCATTTGCAATCTTTTCCTTTGTTTTTCTTAGCTTGCTGTACTGTTCACTACTACTTGAATAGTATTCTGCTAAATATTTGGCAGATTGTGTCTTTCTCTGTTTGGATGTATACATGGTATAAATTAGGGTTGGGTAATTTCTGGCTCTCCTGCTTTTTGGATATCAGCTTCAAGCCTCAGCCACCTTACTACTAAGGGATTAGAAAAGTTGTAATACTGAACAGCCAGAGTCCCAAATGTTCCCTGCTGGTGTTATAAATACTGTAATGTGTCTGGTTCAGAGTAGTAAACTGTAAGAACAATACTAAAACTACAAGTGAGAAGGATCTTGGAATTGTAGATCACAAGCTGAATATCAGCCAACGGTGTGATGTGGCTGCAAAAAAGGCCAGTGCTATTTTAGGATGCATTAACAGAGTTATAGTCTAATACTGTGACTAGTTCTGAACACTGCACTTTAAGAAGGATGCCAACAAATGAGCAAGTTCAGAGGAGGGCAACAAGGATGATCAGAGAATTGGAAACCAAGACCAAAAGAACTGGGCATGTCTACCCTTGAGAAAAGAAAACTGTTGGAGAAAGGTAGTCATACAGAGGAGAGGCAGGATCTATTCTTGATCATCTCAGAGTGCAGAACATGTAATAATAGACTCAAGTTACAGAGGACCAGATATTAGTTGAATAGCCAAAAACACCTTAACTGTTAGTGCGGTATCACAGTGGAACCAATTACCTTGTGTGCGGTATCACAGTGGAACCAATTACCTTGGGGGTGTGTGTGAATGTTCCAACACTGGAGGCATTCAAGAGAAATTGGACAACCTTCTGCCAGATCTGCTTTGATTTCTGCATTGAGCAGGGTGGTTAGACCTGATGGCTTTGATTTGGATTTCTGCATTGAGCAGGGTGGTTGGACCTGACGGCTTTATAGGCCCTTTCCAACTTAATTATTCTATGATTCTATGAAAACAACATAGAAAAATGTCCAGAAGACGCTAGTGAAGATAATAAGTGGTGTGGAAAGTTTTGAAGTAACTGGCCGCGTTTAAGCTGAAGAGAAGATTGAAAAAGCACAGAGTCCTTTTCAAAAAGCTGAGGAGCTGCCACGTTGGAATTTATTTCTTGCTATTTATTAGTTGTGTTTATATCTTACCTTTCCTCAAGTGAGTAGAAGGTGATATGTATCTTCTACCCTGCCATTCTATCCTCCTAACAATCCTGTAAGGTGGGTCAAACAGGGAGACTAACTTTCTCTAGGTCACCCAGTGAGTTTCATGGCCAAGTAGGGATGTCAACCCATGTCTCCAGTGTCATAACAGTCTAACCATTAAAGCAGCTGTCTGTTTTATTTTCCTGCATTTTGGCCAAAATCCACTCAAACGAAGTAACAATTCAGTGTGTATCCAAAAGAAATTTTCAGAAACAATTGAAAACATAATTTACACATAGGATAAAACACAGCAATAAAAGCAGAGAAATAGTCCAATCATTCATCTGGATGTCAGATTACATGTCAAGGGGCTGCCTGTGTAAAACTGTGTCTGCGGTTGATGAAAGAACTAGAGAAGGTATGAACTTAGCCTCTTTTATTAAGATGTTCTAAAATCTGGGCGCAGCCATGGAAAAGTTGGAGAGTTGTTGTGCGCCACCCCAAGCCATAGATCTGACTTTAATGGGCTTAGAGATCAATTTTGTTTAAACTCCATAAGAAATTCATGGCTAGTGGTAAATAGTTGTGGGACTGGTTCAGAAATCTGGAAGGCTGGAGATTCTCCATATGGTGCTCCAAGCTTGGCAGGAATAATGGGAGCATTGGTATAACCCATTTGGAAAGCACCAGGTTGGAGAAGGGTGATGGAGGATTAAATAAACAGAAAAAGAGTCATTGCCCTGAGGAGTTTACCATTTCCCAGTGAAAAGGGGAAATGACCATGGCTGGAAATAGGGCAAAAATAATAATGGGAGAAAAGGAGACAGTTAGTCCTCTTTTAACCTGAGGCTGAGAACCAAAGGGTAGCGCTACAGGTTGGGCAACTTGTGGCCTTTTGGATGTTGGTGGACTTCAGCTTCCATTAGCCCCTGGCAGTAGTGCAGGCTCCTTTATCTATAGAGTTTTTAAACTGTGCCATATCAAAATATTTCAAAGTGATGTGCAATAGATTGAAGCAAATATACAACCGTCATAATAAAAAACGAATACCATAATAAAACAATGATTAGAGTGTAGTAGTTAAGAAATACTTACCTGGACAGAAAAATGTTCAACAAGAGTTGAAAACAGAAAAGGATAACCTGAATTGGAAACAAAATTCTTACTTAAGTAATAGCTTTATTGGTATTTATTTTCAATGATACAATAAAGGTATTATTTAACCTAGACTGTTGTTTTGGGTCACTAATCACAAGGCTGTTTTTCTCCATCGGTAGGACATTCCACAGGATGGGAGCAGATGCACTAAAAGCCCTGCTTCTCATGGACTTTAGGTGGGTCTCAGACCTGCGTGGAATCATCAAGGATATCTTCTCATAAAACCTTGGTCACCAGGCAGGATGGTAGAGTAAAATGTTTGTGCTCAGGTATTGTGATCCCAAGTGATGTTGTGTTTTGTGTATCATTACCACAACCTCCAGCCTATCTCAGATGGAGTTGTGGTTCATCTCAGGGTGCCTCAGGTTGCTCTTACGTGGCTCTCAACAAAGTCTTAAATATAGGTTTTGCAGGAAATGAAGAGAGTCATCAAGAAGTCTTTATAAGAATCTTCAGCTTTGTAACATGCCAGTGAAAAACAAGAGGTAACTCATAAAATACTCGGCATGTTTGAAAGGAGAATACTGTACTTAAAGAGAGGGAGTAGCTGTTTTGTTTAAATTGCTTGTAGCAGAGCGGAATGCATTAACACTTCACTATTTCCTGCTTTTAGTAAAGAGAATCCATGCATAGGCTCAGGTGGCCATTCTGTACTTAAAGATGTCATCCAGCCTTTCCAGTTATGCCATACGGATGGCCCGCCTCAGTGCTCGCATATTTGGAGAAGTTGCTCGACCAACTGATTCGTCATCAATGAAAGTCGTGAAACTGCTAAGTGAACCGCCCTATGCAAAACGGAAGGAAGTTTATGATTGGTATCCACCCCACAAAACCTACTATGGCCTCATGAAGAAGCTTCGTTTCTATGGCCTCTACAGGTAAGCCAGGCATGTGCTATGTGGATGTGATGAAGAAAAAAGAGCAGGCTGAAAAAAAATAGAATGAAATTTAACAGGGAGAAGTGCAAAGTTCTACACCTAGGGGGGAAGCATCTAAATGCACAGTTACAAGATGGGGAAGACTTGGCTCAGTAATTCTACATGCTAGAAGGATCTTGGAATTGGTGTAGATCACAGGCTGAATATGAGCCAACAGTACAATGAGGCCTCAAAAGACGGCCAATGCTTTTTTAAACTGCATTAACGGAAGTCTCCATCTCCTGAAAAGCACTACTCCCCCTCTATTCAGCACTGATTAGGACTCACAAGAAGGATGCCAACAAACTGGAACAAGTTCAGAGGAGGGCAACAAGGATAATTAGGGAACTGGAAACCAAGACCTATGAGTATGAGGAAAGACTTAAAGAACTGGGCATGTCTAGCCTTGAGAAAATAAGACTGAGAGAAGACGTGATCGCACTTTTTAAAATACTTGTAAGGTAGTCATGCAGAGGAGGGGCAGGATCTGTTCTTGATCATCCCAGAGTACAGGACATGTCATAATGGGTTCAAGCTACAGGAAGGCAGATCTAGCTGAATATCGGGGAAAACTTAACTGTTAGAGCAGTATGACAATGGAACTAATTACTTGAGGTGGTGAGTGCTGCAAGAGTTAACTGTTAGAGCAGTATGACAATGTAACTAATTACTTGAGGTGGTGAGTGCTCCAACGCTGGAGGCATTCAAGAGAAATTGGGCAACCATCTGTCAATCTACTTTGACTTGGCTTCCTGCATTGAGCAAGATGTTGGGCTTGATGGCCTTATAGGCCCCTTCCAACTCCATTATTCTATGATTCTAAGGACCAAGCGCCCTATCTAGTGCTGCCATAAAAGTGTCTTGCTTTACTTCAGGCAGAGTGGTAGGAACTGTATATTTTGTATACACTAGCTTCCAAATTCAGTGGTGCTTCACTTAACGATGTTAATTCGTTCCAGCGAAATCGCTGTAGAAAATTAAAAACCCATTGAAACGCATTAAAACCCGGTTAATGCATTCCAGTGGGCTAAAAACTCACTGTCCAGCAAAGATCTTCCATACAGCGGCCATTTTCGGTGCCTGTCTAGCAAGGAATCTGTCCTAGAAAACAGCGGGGGGTCATTTTCTCCAGCCGGCGGCCATTTTGGATACCTGACAATCAGCTGTTCGCTGATCGTCGCAATGCAAAAAATCATTTCCCAAAGCAGGGAACCGATCATCACACAGTGGAATTTGCCCATAGGAAGCATCGTTTTGTGACCAATAGGAAGCATCGTTTTGCAATCGCAAAAAAGACATCATAAGCAGATTCGTCGTTATACGGGGCAATCCTAAAGCGAGACATCATCGTTAAGCAGATTCGTCGTTATACGGGTCAGTCGTAAAGTGAGGCACGACTGTTCTGGTATTTTCAGTTCAAACATAGCTGGACAATCTAACCTCATATAGCAGGATAGTCTAGAAACTCCTTCAAATTCTGGCCTAGACCCCTGTCATCAGCTAACTTATACATGGCTTTAATTTTGAAAATAATCTTAGAATTGCAGGGCTGGAGGGGACCTTATGGATCTTTGAATCCGACGCCTGTCAAGGAGGCACTGTGGGGAATTGAACTCCCAACATCTAGCTCCATAGTCAGATATCTAAACCACTGATATGCCAGTTATTTCTTGCAGAAGCTTAACATTTGGAGAACAGGCTCTCTTATCTCCCTTCCTCCTCTCTGATCTGAATAACAGGGACCCATTTAGCAGTTGTACAACCTGCTGCTTACTCCTAGGGGTAAGAGTAAGGGGGTTTCCAGCTTTAGAAATTCACCATTTCTCAAGTTTAGAATTTAAAGCACTGGTAGGAAACTGCAGAAAACGGGAGGGGGGAATGCTGGAGTGGTAAATGGAGCATTGTGACCTGGTGCTTCGCTCAGAACTTAGCTCCTTTGCTCCTCTCCCTATCCTATCCCCAGAAAGAGAAGGAAGAATATAATACTCTGAGGCCCAACTTGCTGCTGGCTGAGTCCCAGCAATGAAAATTATTTTCCCTACCCACCTCTGGTAGCTTACAGAGAAAGGGGAATGTGGCTGCATCAAAAGTTCCTGCTACCTGGATTCTGCCCTTCTCTAGGTGGAGGATGCGCCTGTATGCACAGGCACACAAACAGCGGCCAAAATCCCATTGTTTAGGGTAATGAGACTAGTGAATCAACTCCTCTCTAAGCTCTATTGATTCAAATGGGCCTATTCTAGTTGTGACGTACTACAATAAAGTAAACCACAACTAACCTGGGCCCATCTGAACAAAACTGAATTTACAGAGAAGACTCATCAAATCTCCACTGATTCAATGGGCCTACTCTGGTGGAGCTGACTACAATAAGTAGTAGGATTTCAGCCAGTGGGGAGCGAGAAGCAGCGTGGTGCTACACAGAATCAAACATCAAGGGTAGATACTTGTAAGACTGATATTAGTCCATGGAAATACGAAAAGAGGTGCACCTCTAAGTTCAGCAGGAATCTTTTTCAGTCTGGGAACTTCAGAGCTTGAGGAAGTAGGGAAGAAACAGGAAAGTCCAACACTGATCCCAACACCAACATAGATTTAAAGAAACCGCCTATCTAAGCTCAGACGTGACAAGAAACTGTGATTTGTTTGAAACCAGAAAGAGCTGCTCATGATCTCCTGCTGGTGTGCAACAGGGGGAAGCATCTGGAGAAGAGATGGGATATTTGTTTTCATCTCCCCCAGGAGACGAATACAAATATTGGGACCACAGGTGGCTGGGCCATTTGAACCCTCCCCTCAGAACCAGGCCATCCACTTACTGCTTGTGGTGCGGCCATTAATGTTCGTGCTGTGCCGGATAGGTGGGGCTCGTCAGCCATGGAAGGCAGCCCATCTAGGAGAAGGAAAACTCCGATTTCAAACCTCCACTGCCACAAACCTTCCATGCTACTCATGGAAAAGGCTTCAGGAGTTAACCTCGAGGCAAAATCCGGAGCTGAAGTCCTGAAGGCAGCATGTGTCATTCTGCCAACTCCTACGACGTTGCTGGAACCAGTTGTATTGGCTCTTGCCTTTCCATTGGACCATTTCAGCAATGTGGAGAGGGGGGATCTGCTGCTTGGGTAACAGCCTATCCTCCATATTACCTTACCCGGGCTTCATGCTCTGGAAAGGACACTTCTTGATACAGAGCACATTACCATAGTCTCTCGAGACTGAAGGATGCCTATGTGCTAATTGCAGAAATAGCCCGATCGGGGCTTCCCCACCTCCCTGTGCTACTGACCATTCGGCTCCAGCTTGGGTCCTTCTGTGGTTGTCACGGCACAAATAACCACGGCTGCACTGCAAGCGGTGAGTGGACAGCCTGGGTCCAAGGGGAGGGACCAATGTGCCCAGTCACCTGTGATGGCGGCACTTCATCTCCCCTGGGAGACAATTGTAAAGATCCCCTCTCCAAATTCTGGAGAAAGTCTCCCAGAGGGTGGTTTGTGCTAGGAGAAGGAGGGCAGGCTCCAGACTCTGCATACCATTTCTTAGGGTCCCAAGACCCTCCAGGAGCTAGAGCAGCCCTTCCAAGTGTGTTGGAGAGCAGAATTGTCCCCCTCAAGAGGCCCAGTTCTCCTATTTCAAGGAATATTTGTAAAGGTCTGGGGTGGCAAAAAATAGCCTTGGGGGCTGCATGATTCCCACCTTCAGCATAGTAGGAAACAATGACTTTCTTCTAGGTTTAGACCACATCACACCAAGGTTGCGCAGATGGAATTGAGAGCTGTAGAACCCTGCCATGTTGACATGCAGGCTGATTTCAGAACACATTCTTCTAATAGACAGTCGCTGGTGCTATTTTCAAGCCTGAGATCATGGCCGTCCAGGTGGTGTTCTCTGGGCTCTCAGGAGAAAATGGCAGAGCTGCGCCCCTTCATGCAGGGGCTTCCCTTTGGCTTTGAAAGATGTAAATTATATGTTTGGCCATTGCAAGCTTCTCTTTTTAGCAGGTCTCTTGTTCAGGGGGGAAAAAAAGCCCGCAAGGGATTACACTTGCTTTTCAAAAATACATTTGGCTGTAGGCAGCAGGCAGTTAATGGGGGTGGAACAAAATCAAGGCCTAAGAGGTAGTTCATGAACGTTTTAATGATATTAGCAGCTGGAAGGCCTTGGGCAAATGATAGTATCTTGCTAATGGACCAGAGGATCAACTAGGAAAGGTAAATCAACATTAAAGCTCTAATATGGTGCAGGGCTCTTTAATCAGAGTTGGCTTTATTAAAAGGCATACTTTGATCTTGTTAGTTTAAGCAGAATCCTTACTGCAGCCAGACAAGATGTGTGAAGAGACTACTCTCTCGAGTCTGATTAAAGCCTTCCCTCCAAATATTCCAGGCTTAATAATATGTCCTTGTCAGAAAGCTGTAGGTTTCAGCAACATGTAATGAGGAAAAACAGCAAGTGAAGCAGGACTTTGCAGGAATATGGAATGCAAAGAATTTTCTTCCTTGTACAGTGAAGTCATACTTAAGTGCTGTATTATTTTCGTCTTGGATCTTCACATATACAAACCTGTTTCTTGATCCAGGGCTTGTTATTTCCTGAAATGCATTCTCTCCACTTCCTTTCAATGAAACTTTGGTTTCTAGCCCTTTTCATGGTGAGAAGACAATTTGAAAAAAATATAAGAAGCATTCAGCAAAGTGGCTTCTGTTTCCTGCATAAACATGCAAAGCTGCATTACATTAAGTCACCAATTCACCTATTTTATTCATGATTTCCAAATATTAATAGTCCGTTTTCCCACTATAATAGCCTTGCTGGTAATCTGTCAAATCTTTTTGAGGGTGAGCAATAAATAACAGTTAGAGATCGGCACGAACTGCCAGCTGGCAGTTTGTGCTGGTTTGACCTTCAGATAAACGGGTTTGGCGGTTCCCAGTCCCACTTTCTCCAGTGGGTACACAGTCAGAAGCAGTGCCCTGGCTTCCCTGCTCCACCGCTTCCAGGCACTGCCTCTGAGTGGATGCCCACTGGAGGAAGCAAAGCTAGGCAGCACTGGGCACCTGTTCGTCGTACAAAACAACCATATCTAGGGACCGTTAAAAATTCCAAGAGCATAATAAGTGACACAAGAATCCAGCAGTAGAGATACCAATAAGAGGCAACTCATTACAGCACCGGCTGTGTAACAGATTTGGATAAATTGTGAATTTCTGATTAAATTGGGCTGAATCATATGAGGATTGAGTTTGAATTTGACTGGCCAGATTCAGTTCTGGGATAAAACAAAGCAAATTTACAAGTTGATTTGCATCTGGAGCAGAAACCAAATTAGCTAGGCCACAAGTCACTTCAGCCTCCTCCACCCCAAACTTCGTTTAAAAAGCAAGTTTTAAAGGTGTCTAATATGCAAACGTTGAAGCTTGCTGCTGGAATTTTGCATAGTGTACTCCCCTCTTTGAGATTTGTCATGTCTCCGGATCTCATGTACATCAATGCAAAAACACATATGTTGTAGCTGTTTTGGTTTCCAATGCAAGGGGATAAGATGCTTGAAAATCCACTCAGTTCTGGGGAACAAGTAAAATTGGGTGGGACACAGGTCACTCTGGACCAAACTGAGGTCTCTTTGTATGCCCTGAATTGGCCTTCAAATCAGATCAGAGAACCCTTGCATAGCCCTAATTATAGCCAATATTAATTACTGTGAATAGACTACAGCAAATTAAATGGTTGTAGATGGCTTTTGAATAAAAATTCAAGTAACATTGCAAAGGAACAAATTCCCAGAGTCCTGGTTGCACAGCAAAGAAATCAGTTTCTGCAGTTGTGATCTCTGATCAGAGTGAAATACTTGCGATTTCTGAGCAAGATACACTGATGAGCAGCTTCTTGTCTAGCCAAGTCTAGCACTGTCTTCTCTGGCTAGGTTGCAATGACACCATCAGTACTGGACTAGGCACTCCAGTGGTCTAATCCAGTGTAAGACAGCTTCCTGTGTTCCTAAGCACATTTGCACATTGATCAAAATGGGCAAGCCACCGCTTGAATTTGTGGGTTGAAAAACTTGTACCTTTTGGGTGCCTTCACTGGCCCTCTGCCTCTGTCCTTTTCGTTTCAGAGATGAACATGAAGATTTCAAAGAGGAGATGAAACGCTTGAAAAAGCTGCGTGGAAAAGGACCCCCCAAGAAAGGAGAAGGAAAGAGAGCCTTGAAGAAGAAAACATAGTATTCTATGTCCAGTGTATTTAATAAAACAGTTGGAACTGACGGTAGCCTTTCAGTTGAAAGGGGAGTTTCTATCTCCCTTCCTCCTCTCTGATCTGATGATTTGGCTTGGGGTAGGGAGCCCCTGCCCAAATATATTTAAACGAGGGGTGGGAATTGGATAGTTTGCAGACAACACATGATATACATGTCTTCTGAGTCCCCTCTGTAAAAAGCAATCTAAGAAAGGGAACCAGCAAATCACTACTTCAGAACTACATCAGCAAGCAGCAGAAATAAATAATGTCATCAATATGTAGCTATAAGAACCTGGAGGTCTGGAATGCTGCTGATCTTATGGTTAACTATGGAACCCATGCCAAAACAACCAGCTGCCTTAAATTTAAATGGATATAAGTAAACTGTGATTTTTTTTTCCTTGTCAGAGTCAAAAGAATTGACAACACTCACATATGTTCCTCATCCGTGCTTTGCACAGCTTTGAGGATCTCATCTGGCTTTGGTGCTGGCTGTTAAGAGCAAGAGGACCACAAGGCAATCCCAGCTTCATAAAGATGTATGCATGGAACCCTTCTTCTCTTATTCCTGTTTCAGGATTTTATAGTGCTTCCAATACACCATCTGTGAAAAATCAGTTCCCATCAATGATGAAGAATGTTCTAACTATTCTATATTCATTACTGGAGAAAGAAAAATGTCATTTGGGGAAAAAGAAACACAAATTAGATATAATTATGTCTGGGAGGAGGAGATTCAAAACAGAGCATCCCTTTTGGCTGGGGAATTACATTTTTCCTGTAGGATTTATGGCTTCTCTTATGTTCCTGGATTTTATAGATAAGAAGCTTAATAGGACAGAGAGGATGCTGGAATGACTTTAATATTTAAGATACTGGAGTGAGAGGGCAGTCTGTGGAGATGGAGAAAGAAATTAGGACAGACTGGGCACCTGAACAAACATGTATATGAATATAATATCCTTTCATAGCAATGAAGAACACTCGGCAGGAGAGAGGTTGGTTTCCTCTATAGATGCTGAATGAAGCTTTCCTGTAATAGGTTTGGGCAGAATATACATGGACTCATTAAAGCCTACTATGGAACCAAGGTAACTTTACAAACCACCACATTGTAATTTGGCTCTGGATTGGGTCCAAAGTGTAAAAGACACCACACATTTTAAAAAAGCTCTCTCACAAGGAGCACTCTCCAAGACCAGATGAATCAACTTATGCCTAATCACTAAAACTGTGTGTCAGTTAGACGCAATATCACACTCCCTCTGCCAAACAAATAAGTTGAGTGAAGGGGCAAATATGC